CTCTAATTGATTCAGGTTATTTTGTAACACAGAATACAGATCAGACTCACCTCTTTTAGCACTCTTCAAAGTGCTTTTACCCCGTCCTTGATTGATCAGATACAGCAGCCAGGGAATACTGCTGTCGGCCATTTAAAAAAATGTTTGTCCTTTGAGCATGCACACAAGCTCTGATGAGCCTGCTGGGATATGTAGTTCACTGCCGTCCTCCCTCTCTAAACTTTTCAATTAACCTCTTCCCCAAAGCACAGAAAAAAACTGATGAACAGAGGTGTCTTTCATTGAGAGTTTTTATAAAGAAAACAAAGTTTTGAGCAGCCCCTGTGGGGGAGAGAGAGAGAGGTGTGAATATGCTAACTAGTAAAAAAAATGGCAGCTGGAAAACAAGAGACCAGTCAGACCTGCCTGATGGCTTGGGTGCACAACAGAGTGATCAGACAACAGGAAATCCATTTTGGAACCAGCTCAGACCAACAGGACCAGACCTCCACAAGTATCGAAGAAACACACAGTAAAGGGGGGGAATGAGATGCAGACGACTGGAGCACAACAGACATGTTGCTGATTGTGCATTTTAAATCCATAAGGGAACAGCAACGGCAATGGATCAAAATGCACGTCTGATCACAGCCTGAGTAGACCAGGGCAAGGGAAGCTTGCAATGCCCTGCCATTTCATGCTTTCCCCTGGGTCCTTGGCTCAGAGTATTGACCATGAGAGCAGGCTGGGGAAAGGGTTTGCTCCCCACTCAAGGCAATATGAGGGCATCAGCCCAGTGCTGCACTGCATCTTTAATTGTGTTTCTCTGTGTCCTTTTATCTCCACTACTTGGTATTACATTTTATGACAAACATGGCCTGGCCTGACAGAGTCCCATTTATGTAAGATCCAGCCTTTATAACAAATGAGTTTGACACCTCTGGCCTACAGCATCTCTTGAGAGAAAAATGTTGGTATACTAACTAAATCAATGGACATATGATCACAAGCACATCCCTTCTCTCCAAAGTGCTGATGGTGTGCCATACTGCAGCTCTATGGCTTCTTCGAAGAGTTCTACATGTACCTGTGGGTAATAATTCATGCACATGTAACTTGGAGATGGGAGGTATTAATCAGCAAGCTCATGTACATTTTATATTTAGTACATAGCTAATTTCTACATTCCTTTAAAAAAATGTTTAGTCTGGTAAATACCCCATCTCTTCCAAGTCATGAGACTGAATATATACAGATCCCATGTGGTACATACCTAGTGGTATGTGGAAGTACTGCTGTTCATATAGCTATTCAGTGTGACATCACCAGGTCCCACCCCAAGACATCACCAGTGGAAGAGAAGGACCTGGCAACTAGCACCTCTCAGTGTACTCAGGCCTTCTTGCCACAAAATGCTTGGCTACGGTAATGCATTACCGTAAAGCATCTCTGGTCCCAGTACAAAGATGTAATGCTACCATCTTCCCCCCAAACATTTGACCCCACCCAGTTGTTACAATTTCATGAATCATGAAAGAAAGAAAAAAAACTATTTTATTTCTGAAATTACAAAAAAGCGTTGAAGTCTTGAGCTATCTCTGGCACGTGGGACAGAATGTGTTAAAATAAAAAGATTCTGGTGTAGAACCAGCATCTTCAGGGACTGCCAGCAAGTTAAAACAAAAGGGTCAGACTATTATTTCATTTCCCCCAAACTATCCAGCTCAGTTTTAAAACACACGTAGCTGTTCTTATGACTGTTTGGCATTGTGTAAACAATGCTCAAGAAGCTCTCCTTCATAATCAAGGCCCCTTCACAAGAACTGCTTTAGTAGAAGTTTTGAAAACTTTTATTGCTCCCTCTTTTGGAGGAATAAAACAACATACAGCTTGTGGCAATGTAAACATTTAAACAAGAACACTAGGCTTACTCGTAACACTTTGGAAAAGAACATAGACATATAACACACCACACAGTCTATGGGTTGCAACCTGAAGATTCCGCCTTAATATACTTTCAGATCTGCTGCTGAATTGGGAGATAAGACTGCCAAGTTTCCCTTGCCACTTCTGGCACTTTCCTTTCATGTGTCCCCTTCAGCCTCTTCTGCACATCCTTCTATAGGAGCAGGAAGGACTGAGTGGGTAATAACTGTCAGCATACGGTGCAACTGCCTCATCTCCCAATCCAGCAAATTTAAAAGGTTCAGAGAGGATCTGGAAACCTTATTTACAGGCAAACATGAGTTATTCATCTGGGATTTCTTAAGAGTAGCAGACCAGCTGCTGATGTTGGTGAAAAGGAATTGTTCCACCAAATAGTACTACCAAGAGGAATTACGGGGAACAGAATTAGGACGGATGGGTGTGCATGTCTCAAACTTTATCACAGTAAATGTTTCTCAGAAAACACTGTTTGAATTCCCCAAGTGTAAGTGGGAGAAAACAGTGGTTTCCCAAAAGGCCAGCTTGGCAAATTCAGGACGTAAAGGAAGGTGAAAAGCACACTGGACAAAGAAAGTTTGTTTTCTCTAAAATCCCCACAAGGGATATAAATACTAAACATGAGAGGGCTTTTAAAACACTTGAACAGAGCTTGGCACCAGGCAGCCATTGGATCGGATGTGACCTATCGATATCTTGAACCCCGACTTTGCTGTTTCCTGTCTCCTCTGTCCCTCTACCTCCATGTTTCCTGAAATAATATGGAAGGAGGGCAGGTAATGGGAAAACAGAAGCCTGCAGGCAATAGAAGGAAGCAGTCTCCCTTCTGTTCTTCCTCCCACCCTTTTCCAGGCAGCAAAATACAGAGGACAATGGGCTCCAACTGCAGCCTTTATAAACAGATGCATTTTACAAACGAAGTAACTCTTCAAACACACAAACATCTTGGTTGTCCTGGCAACTGCAAAGGATTGTTGAAGTGACCTTCAAAGGCTTTTTATGATGCTGTGGTGTTTCATATCTGAAGCTTTGGTTTTGGGAGGGCAAATAATTCTCCCCACATTTTGTTCATGAAAGATATAGGTTTGTGCTGTAGAAGTCTGGACTGAATCAGAAAGGGGAACGTTCCGTAAGCTTACCAGTGAGCGGCCTCCATAGCTGTTCTTTCCCATGCCAAAGTCAACATGGTTCGTGGATGGATGCCAAACGGACTTGGAAACAGTTTGATGAGTGACTGAGGGTTAGAATGGCCTGACTCATCTTCAAAATGACAGAACCCCACTATATTCTAGCACTGCATACCAGGGTGCATGTTGGAACTGTTCAGAAGACTTGGACGATATGCTGTCAGGGTTAGCTCCTCTAATTTCTTGCCAGTTCTCTCATCATCCACTATAGATTCCTTCTTCAGATTATCAACCTCTGCTTACTAAGCCAACCAATTTCCTCAGTCTTCTAATTGCTATATAGATGATACCCACATTCTGGCCTAATCTTCATTACAATGGGGTTTGACTAACTAACAACCTTAGTATCTGCCACTCACATCTTTGGGGGGGGGGGGATTCAAAATCTCACGGCAAAGCCTGCAGCCGGAATGAAATCTTTTTTGGGGGGATATAGAAAATTCAACGGCTTCTTGTTGCCCTGAGTGTCTCTGTTAACACTCTGCTACCCCTGAACATGATGAGAGAAATGCAGGATACAGGATATACAGGCTAATTATGCTCTACTTATTGTCACATTCCAAAAATCCTTGAGTGAAACTAAAAAAAAAAAGTGTGCAGGTATGATTCACATACTCCTTATTGTAGACATCTGGATCGAGGCGGTGTGGCGGCACTGTTGTTGTTAGACCTGTCGGCCGCATTTGATACGGTCGACCATCAGCTGCTGGCCCACTGCCTTGCCGACATGGGGATCCAGGGGCTTGCCCCTCAATGGCT